CTCCGGAGCCGCCCGGTGATATGGGGTAGTTTTCCTTAACCCTAAACCCTAAACCCTGAAACCCTAAACAAGTACGCCACTGGCACCCTTCAGAAACTTGGTGCTATCGAGCCACTGCGTTTTCCGAAAATGAGAACAGCGAAAGGCGTTTCGATAGCACCAAATTCCATTTAGGGTACGTGCCAGCTATACATTGGGTATCACATGCATGATGTATTCCATAAGGCATTCTATAAAGTATTACAGATGGTATTCCATATGGGATATATCGGGGCATTTTTTTCACATCTCCTATTGCCACGGTGCGCTTGCCTTCCGGAGAGCTGTGCGTGGCCGGCAAGTACCAGTCTTGCGGGACACAGGCAGCCATGACCTACCAGGTCCTGGGCAAGTGGCCGGAAACGTTGCGGAAGCAACGCAAGCTCTCCACGGAACTCCACGAAGAGTACCTCTTCCTGACCCGATGGCGTTCTTGCGCAACCTGGAGGCAGTGAGAGAACATGAAGAAGCAGCTGCAGAGCGAGCCATCATAAAGGCCAACACTGCCCGGCTCCGCTCCAACCCAGAGTTGTACCAGCCCTTCCCTGTGGTTCCCGTAGCCCAAGCGTGGTTGGCCACTTTCCAAGAGGACCGCCTTCGGTACCCGCTGCTGGACTGGGAAGACAGACCTCTTCAAGAAGCCGCTCGAACTGAAAGTGGGAGGCCTCCAGGTCCTTCCTGAGGCCATGCGCGGCTTTGACAGACGGGTGCACGATGGCATCATTCTGGATGATGTTCGAGACCTTACATTCTTGGCTGAACAACAAGACAAACTTCAAGGAAAGTATGATGCCAGAGTGGAGTTTGCAACATCCAGCGGCGGGACGTGCGCCTACAGCTAGTACCTCTTCGCTCTTCCCATTGCAGTCACTGCCAACCATAGCACGCACAACCTCGACTTCCTTCACACACATGTCTGGCTGAAGCAGGCCAGCAATCGAGTCCTCGTGCAGTTTCCGGACATCCTCGGCCGGGTGTAAACATGTTTGACGGCTAGCGCAGTTCCAGGCAGCATGTGCATTCAAAAGGCCGGACTTCCGAGCGTGCAGTAGGATGCCCACCTGAACCCGAACCTATGAGACTTGTAAGCTGAAGGTTCCACTGTAAACGGGGGAAACTGGCCTAGAATGAGTCCAGAGGCAATCCTGCTGTGATGCCACTAATGTGAGTCCGGCGTGGGTTCTTGTGAAATCGAGCGTCTAAATGGGACATGGCTTGTTGGGATGTGCTGTGATGCCACGTCTTGAGCGGGTGCTTGTGACATCGAGCGTCTACATGAGGAATTCTTGAGATGTGCTGTGATGCCACTGCTGGGTGTCTTGAGCGGGTGCTTGTGACATCCAGCGTCTACATGATTCATGGCCTTGTTTGTAGGATGCACAGTGATGCCACTGATGTCTGTCTTGGGCGGGGGCTTGTGAAATCGAGTGTTTTTCTAGTGGACGCAGCCTTGCTGAGGCAGCGTCTACATGGGGAAACCATGTTGATGTGACCATGATACGACCCCATCTTGGGGGCGCAGCAAAGCTGTCCTGCTTCGTGAGACCGGATGCACCTGGGACCACATCCGCGGCCAGGTGAGAAATCTACAGGGCGGCTTGCCATCTGTGTCACAGCTGAAGCGGGTCTGCAAGGGCTTCAGTCAGAAGAGTTCAGCGAGTGTACAACTACCAGAACTGCGGTCAGAAGCCCGCGAAGGTGACCAAGACCGTCAAGGCCGTGCTGCGCTTGACTAAGGCAGAGCTGCGGGAGAAGCTTTCGCTGTCCATGGACGGCGCTGTCCTGGTCCTGGCAGTGCCACCCAAGGATGCCACAGACAGGGCGAACTACTGTGCCCACCTGGGACGGAGAAGCTGGCAGGCGACGACCCGTACCCACAGCAGATCCCGCAGGCTCGCATTGTGCTGCTGTGGGGTGGCCTTTTGGAGGGTGGCTTTAGCTTGGTCCCTCAAGACCCAACCTTTAAACTTTTTGGGTTCTTATAGTTTAGTAGTAATCTGAAAGTTTAACTTCTTATTTCTCTGGCTTATTGGCGAAGTAAGTTAGTGTCATCACTTTCCACAAGAAAAGAGAGCTCACGCCCGAGGAGTGGTGTCATGTGGTCCGCCAGGGCAAGTTGACTGCAGCCATTCGCGCTTTGGAGCCCAGCAAGGCGGATGGCCTGTGGACAACGAATCCTTCCTACACACGGCTGCCAGCTGGCGGGCCATGGCAGATGAGGGTATCACGCTCTGGCGCACGCCACCTGGATCTCCAGATCTTAATCCGGTCGAGAAAATGTGGGCATGGCTTCGGAGGCGTCTGCGTGAGAAGGACCGCGAAGACTTGCATCGGAAGCGGCCAGTCCTGAGTGTGATGGCGTTCCAGTTCTGGCATCCGCCAAGGCACAAGCGGCTGCCAGCAACATCGCGGCCAGTTTCCGTAAGACCTGCAGAGAGGTCGTCACCAAGAAAGGTGGCATGGCACGGGGCGAAGCCCTGCAAGAGAAGCCCTGCAAGAGTTTCACCCCGAAGGTGATTGGACTGGACTCTGGCGCCCAAAATTGACGTTGTAGGGAATGTTTTATAAGGTATTCTGTTGTTTATCGGTATCCCTTAAATAGGCTTCGATTTGTTCAAGGAGTTTCTAGATCCGAAATTCCACATTTCCTTCATCTGAATCCTTCACCCAGTAAACTACAATTCAACTGGGGAACTCGCAGATCTTGGGTTCCTCCTGATGTTCGCTATAGAAACGTTTGTTTCTGTATCATATGCTATAAGGTATTATGGTGTATTCTAGAAGGTATATATGATCCCGGTTCGGCCGTGCTGTGGTGCGGTGTGGTTCGGGATCTGGGTCTGCTTGGAGTCCCGCCCCGCCTGTGGTGTGGTGTGGTTCGGGGTTTTGGTCTGCTCTCAGTCCCTCCACCCCCTGTGGTGTGGTGTGGTGTGGTTCGCGGTTTGGGTCGCCCCTGGGTGTTTCGAAATCTTCATCATCATCATCATCATGATCCTCCTCCTGCTCCTCCTCCTCATCATCATCATCAGCATTATCGTCATCATCATCATCATCACCATCATCATCACCATCATCTTCAGCATCACCATCATCACCACCACCAGCACCACCACGACCACCACCACGACCACCACCACGACCACCACCACGACCACGACCACCACCACCACCACCACCACCACCACCACCACCACCACCACCATTTTCACCATCATCATCACCGCCATCACCATCATCAGCACCATCACCATCACCAT